CCCCTCTTTTTTCTCTCTTATTTTTTTGCTAGAGAGAGACTCTCTGGGTATGGCGGGGGGGGACCGAAGGTCTCCTCCCCGCTCAGGCGAGAGTGCTGACGGCGGTACGACGGGAGATGAACGGAGACGGTCGGGGATTGGCTCGGGAGGTTCGAAGAAGGCTGGAGACGGTTCTCCAAGCAAGCTAGGGGCGTCTCGGGGGAAAGGTAAGGCTCGGGATCCTGTCCGTTCTAGTTCCGATGGAGCGGTCGAGGGTCGCTGGGAGATCAAAATGCGGGGTGCCGATCTTAGGGGGACGTCGCAATCTGCGTCGAATGGATCTATTCCGATCAGATCTGGCAAAGCCAAGGCTTGGAGCTCTCCCCAGAAGGAGCCTGGGGCGGATTCGCATAACTCGGATATGCGGGTGTCGGTTAACCCGGCGTTCAGTCCGGCGAAGTCGTCGATGGAAATGGACGTGGGAGAGCCTACGACGGAGGAACAAGATGAGGAGGAAATGTTTGATGTTGATGCTTCCATGCCCAGGCATCCTCGGTAGCTGGAAGGTGCGAGTGGGGAGCCCGAGGTGGGGGTTGAGTCCCCGGATGTGAACATGGGGACTAGTTGCCCGCTATATGTTTGTGATAATGCCGGTTCTGGCAAATCCAGTGTTAGCTGCGAGGTGCCGCAGGCGGCTAAGTCCCCTCCTTCTGGGCCCTTCTGCCCGGGGCGTATAGAGAACCCGTGGCGGCGACCGGAGCATATTCTGGTGAATCGCCCTGAGAACATCAATGCTCTTGCTGAGGATAGAACCACGATCGACCTCAACCTGGACCGTGTTAAGGCCAATTTGGCCAAGTTGGAACAGGCTGTTGTGGGAAAAATTTTGGGAAAGAAGGTGTCGTTCTTCTTGTTGAAGTCCGAAATCCAGCGGCAGTGGGGGGGCTTTGGTGAGTTCCAGCTCACTACTTTGGGGTCGGACTGTTTTATCTGGTTATTCTCGCCCCGTGAGGCGCGCGATGCCGTCCTCCGCGGAGGACCGTGGTTCATTGGGGGTAACCTGGTGGGTCTTGATAGGTGGACACCGGGATTCTCGCCGGCATCCATGGAAGGGCTATCTTCCCCTGTGTGGGTTCGCTTACCCAACCTCCCGCTCCATTTTTGGGATGAGTGCAACATCTCCAGGATTGCTTCGCGGCTGGGGACGCCCCTTTGGATCAATGCTCAGACTGGTACGTGGGGAAGGCGGGAATACGCCCGGGTGTGCATTCGTATGAATCTAGCCAAACAGCTAATGGCCGGTATTTGGATTAATGGCCTGGATGGGTGATTTTATCAAAAGGTTGAGTATGAAGGGATTGGTTTGTTATGCTATGGGTGTGGGCGAGTTGGCCACCATAGGGATGTCTGCCCGCTTCGTGGGCCGGAGCCCAGCAATCATGCCAAGGTGCGGTCAGGCGATCGTGCACCCCTCGCCATGGGGGCGGAAGACGGTGTTAATTCGACTAAGGTGGATCACCAAGGCCTGCATCCTCCGGCCCCTAGTGTGCAGAATGGTTCTACTGGATCTGCTGGGACAACATCCTTGGGGGTGGGTGGGCCCCGGGGTGTTGATGATTATTTGGGGGGGCCTTCAAAAGCCCTTGCTGCCTCTGCTCCCCGGGTTTCCTCGACTGATGCTGCTGTCCCGGAAACCGTCAGGGGTGCTACCTCGGCTGAGGTTGATGAGTCCGTCGGGTGGATTCAGGTTCCACCTCGTCGGCGACGGAAGGATAATCCTCCCTTGCGTAGCAACATTGTTACTACCAAGGGCCCTCCCGTTAAGCACCTGGGGAAACCTCTGAAGCAAGTGGACTTCAGCAAGGTTAAGGTTCCTCCCAACTTGGTTAAGACTACTCTTCGGCAAGCCAGGACGGGGAGCTTTCAGCCCCTTTTTAATACGGCCGGAGTTGGATCTGTGATGCATCTGAACAATAGGTCTGATGATGGTATGGAATTATGTCTGGGAAGGTTGGATGGTGAGCTCCCACGCAAGCGAAAGAAAGCAGTGGGTGATTTGTCTGGCGGCGGGGACGCCTCCCCTTCGGTTTGCCAATGACTTCTATTATCTTTTGGAATTGTCGGGGGGCCCAGAAGAAGCAAACGGGGCATTTCCTCCACAGCATTGTGGGTGGTAGTGAGGTGCTTTCGTTGGTTTAGTGGAAACTATGGTTGGGGATATTTCCAGAAAGGATGTGAATGCTTTGGTCGGCCCTTGCTGGGACTTCGCCCATTTCCCTGCTAGCGGGAGATCGGGTGGACTGCTTGCATTGTGGAGGAATGACAAAGTGCAGTTCGTGACGGTTAGGATGTTCGATCAAGCGATTGTGGGGCACCTGGTGCTTCCTATTCGTGAGAAGTGGTGTTTAGCCGTTGTGTATGCCGGTAATGATTATCACACTAGACGGGGCCTATGGGAAGCCTTTGGCTCGTGTATTGATGCTGAACTCCCAGTGATTGTGGGTGGGGATTTCAACTGTTGCCTGGATCAGAGTGAGAAGAAAGGTGGCAAACGATTGGGTTTTTCGATTGGCTCTCAGGAGATGGCGGCCTTCTTGATCGATAATGATCTCCATGATTTGGGGTTCTCTGGCCCGAAGTTTACGTGGTCGAACAACAAGACTGGTAATAGTAAAATCTGGGTGCGGCTCGACTGGGTACTTATGAACTCGGTCGGCATTCAGTTGGCTCCTTTGGCCTCGGTGCGGCATTTGCTTTGTGTGGCGTCGGATCACTGCCCCCTACTGTTGAATTTGGTGAATGTCACCCCAAATTCTGGTTGCCACAGGATTCGTTTTGAAGATACGTGGCGAACTTACCCGGCGACGTGGAAGCTAGTACAGAAGATGTGGACGAAGAATGATTATGGTCAGCCGGACGAGGTGCTCAACCGTAAGTGTTCGAGGACGCTACGTGGGCTTTTTTTTTGGAGCCGTAATCGGTTGAAGGAGCTGAATGAATTAAAGGGGTCCCTTGAGGCTCGGATTGGTGAGCTCTAGCTGCTGGAGTGCACCCCGGAGGGGCTTAGTTCTGAACGAGATTTAGAGCTGAGACGGGCGGCTTCTGAGCTCAATTCCACCCTGACTAGGCTGGCTATGCGTTGGAGATAGCGTGCTAAGGCCCGCTGGGTTGAGGAGGGAGACTCCAATTCTCATTTCTTCCACGCGTTTGCGTCGGCGCGGCGGAGGGGGAATCGTATCCTGGAGGTGCAGCGTAGTGATGGGGAACGGACGTCAGAGCAGGAGTGTATCCAAGAGGAGTTTATGGAATTTTTCTGGCTCAAGTGGAAGGAAAGATTGGTCAGTCGCCATAGATTCAAGCATTGAGCGGACTACGGCAGGGTTGTCCGCTGTCCCCGTACCTCTTTATACTTTGTTCTGAATTACTTTCTATGGCTTTCAAGCAACGGGGTGCTCAGTTGGGAATCCGTATTGTTCCTCATGCTGAGAGAATTTCTCACCTACTGCATGCGGATGATATTCTGGTGTTCGCGGAGGCCTCCAGGCATAATGCTGATCGCATTTTGAATATCTTAGACGACTATTGTGGCTGGACGGGGCAGTGCGTTAACAGGGAGAAGTCGGCGATACTCTTTAACAAGCGTTGCCCGAAGTGGAAGCAACGGGCAATTGCTAGGGTGGTGGGGGTTCGCCGGGTGGATCAATTCGACTACTTAGGAATCCCGCTGGTTTTGCGGAAGCTGAAGGTGGCGGATTTTGCTACACTTGTTCGAAGTGCCCATGACAAGACGAACATCTGGGGGAAAAAGTACCTTTCGTATGCTGGGCGTGCTCTTCTGATCCGCTCGGCACTGCTCACTATTCCTGCTTACCTTCTTGCTCATACGGAGGTGCCGAGTGGGGTGCTCAATTCTATCGAAAAGCTCGGGCGGCGATTTCTGTGGCAAAAGGATTCCAACAGTAAGGGCATGCACTATGTGGGCTGGCACGACCTCTGCCTACCGCGTGACCAGGGGGGCTTGGTTTCCATGAGTTAGCTGTTTGGCGCGGCCCCCTTCGTGCTCGGCTTGCTTGGACGGTCATTAACGAGCCTGATTCTCTTCTTCACAAGGTCGTTACGGCGAAGTATGGCGCTGATCTGTGGCTGCCTGTTCGGACCCCCAAGTGCTCCGCTACTTGGAGAATTATCCGGGAGGGGGCGGATGCCCTGTCGACTATTCTTCGGTGGCGTATTGGCGATGGGCGTAGTGTCAGAATTCTTCATGATTGCTGGATCCTGGACCGGAAGATTGAGGAGTGGCTGACATTTGTCAATGTGGAGGAGGTGGAAAATGCCCGCGTTTGCAACTTGTTGACTGACTCCCTGGAGTGGAATGTGGAAATGGTGAACCATTTTTTTGGCCCCATTCTGGCACAACGCATCTTGGAGATTGGCACGAACGTGGGGGAGGGGACGGACACGCCGGAACTCACTAAGTCGTGCTTCGGTTCTTCGCTCTCGGCGGTGGCGTATAGGTCCAAAGTCCAGGGACCGGACTGTGACTTTGGTTGGCTGCACAATTTGAAGCTACAGCCGCGCGAGAAATTTCATTGGTGGCGGCTACTTTGGAATGCTATTCCCACTAATGTTTGGCTTCACCGGAGGGGGCTTTCGAGCACCCGGCTTTATCCGTGGGGGTGTGATATGGAGGAAAACACGGATCACTGCATTACGCTTTGCCATATGCTGAGAAAGGTGGTGAGGATCCTTGCGAAATGGGGATTTGCTCTGCCTCAATTTGACTCCCTCGCGGCGGCGATGGATGGTCTGGCTGCGATGGCTGATTCCAACCAAATTCTCGGATTGATTTACTGCTATGCGGTGTATTAGGTGTGGCGTGCCAGGAACGATTTGAAGCATACTGGGACGTCCCGCCCACCTTCGATTATTGCCGCTACGGTCTTGTCGTTATTGCTGCGGACCTACTCGATGCCAATTCTGGAGCACTGGTGTTACCCTCAGCCCTCTGGGCTGTCTTCTAATCACTCATGGTGCCCCCTCCTCCAGGTTGGTTGAAGTTTAATGTCGACGCGGCGGTGCGGCCATCATGCTTGGCCGGTATCGGGGTGGTGGTTCGGAACTATGCGGGTTCGTTCATCACGGCGACTGGGAGGCGGATTGAGCAGTGGGACGCCTTTCAGGCGGAGGTTCTTGCGGCCACGGCGATCCGAGAGGTAATTCGGGAGTGGATGTTTGATCTCGACGGGATTGTCATTGAGGGGGACTGCCCTAATGCTATACGGTGGCTCCAGCATCTTCATGACCGGCACCATAAGGCGCACTACAATTTTGAGGGGCCCGACCTCACTTTTTTGCTTAATTTTAAACAAGTTATTTTTAGATATACTCGCAGGGACTGTAATCGCCCTGTGGATTTTTGTGCCACTTTGGCTTTATCTGAGAGTTTTGTTTTTTGGGATGAGAATGCTGCCAATGTCCCCTTAACCTTTTTGTCGTTGTTAAGGGACAACAGCCATAGATTTACTTTCACTTGTAACTAGTTTTTTATATCAATGCAAATGCACCAGTTCAGCTCTATCTCTCTCTCCCTTTCTCTCTCTCTCTCTCTCTTTCTGTCTCTCTCTCTCCCTCTCTCTCTATTGCACTCCCTTGATCTTTCTTGCTCTCTCTCTTCCTCTCTCCCTTGCACTCTCTTGCTTTTTCTTGTTCTTTCCCTAGCTTGCTCTTTTTGTAGCTTCCTCTCACTTGCTCTCTCTCTCTCTCTCTCTCTCTCTCTCTCTCCCTCTCTCTCTCTCTTACACTCCCTTGCTCTTTCTTACTCTCTCTCTCTCACTCTCTCCCTCTCTTTATCTCTCCCTCTCTCTCTCACTCTCTCTCTCTCTCCCTCTCTCTCTCCCTCTCTCTCTCTTGCTCTCTCCCTTGCTCTCTCTAGCTCTCTCTTGTTATTTCTCTAGCTTGCTCTCTCTCTAGCTTGCTCTCACTTGATCTCTCTCTCCCTCTCTCTCTCACTATCTCCCTCTCTCCCTCACTCTCTCCCTTTCCCTCTCTCCCTCACTCTCTCCCTTTCCCTCTCTCCCTCTCTCTCTATCTCTCTCTCTCTCTCCCTCTCTCTCTCTCTCTCTCCCTCTCTCTTACACTCCCTTGCCCTTTCTTGCTCTCTCTCTCTCTCCCTCTCTCTTACACTCCCTTGCTCTTTCTTGCTGTCTCTCTCTCTCCCTCTCTCTCTGTCTCTCTCTCTCTCTCCCTCTCTCTTACACTCACTTGCTCTTTCTTGCTCTCCCTCTCTCTCTCTCTCACTCGCTCTCTCTCCCTCTCTCTCTCTCACTCTCTCACTCTCTCTCTCTCCCTCTCTTGCTCTCTCTCTTTCTTTCACTCTCTCTCCTCTCTCTCTCTCATGCACTCCCTTGCCCTTTCTAGCTTTCTGTCTCTCTCTTACTCTCTCTCTCTCTCACTCTCTCCCTCTCTCTCTCCTTCTCTCTCTCTCCCTCTCTCTATCTATCTCTCTCCCTTTCTCCCTCTCTCTCTCTTACTCTCTCTCTCTCTCCCTCTCTCTCTGTCTCTCCCTCTCTCTCTCCCTCTCTCTCTCTTGCACGCCCTTGCTCTCTCTCTATCTCTACCTCTCTCTCTTTCTCTCCCTCTCTCTCCCTCTCTCTCTATTGCTCTCCCTTGCTCTTTCTTGCTCTCTCTCTCTCTCTCTCCCTCTCTCTCACTCTCTCCCTCTCTATCGGGGAAGGTAATCTGTAGTGGGGCGGAGAGCCTAGCGGGCTGTGTTAGGTGGAGGATATGCACGGGCTCGGATGTTGATGTGCTCAATCATGTGTGGATTTTGGATATGGCCTTATCTCGTTGGCCCACTTTTTGCAATGTTGATATGGCTCAGGATTGCACTGTTGATGAATTCATTACGGGCGAACGGAGCTGGAACAAACCAAAGCTTTTGATATTCTTTGGTGAGGCATTGGCTGATAGGATCTGTGATGTTAAAATTTGGACGGAGCTTGCGGTGGATACTCTCGAGTTGATCAAATGCCCCCTTGGCTCTTCCGTCTCGACTATCTGCTACAACAATGCGTTTCAGGAGGTGGAGGATCCCTGCTACCCCATTCTGAAACTTGGTTTGAGACCCCGTGTAAGGATCTTTTGGTGGAGGGTGTATAAGGATTTGATCCCTACTGGAGCTTGGCTGGCTCACCATGGCCTCTCTTCGGACATGGCTTGCCCTTTGGGCTGTAATCAAGAGGAGGATAGGGATCACATTACAACGCGGTGTAGGCGGCTTATGGAGGTCCTGGGCTGGCTGGCGAACTGGGGCTTCAACACTCCCAGGTTTTCTTCGTTCGACGAGCTCCAACTTGCTTTAGGGGGCGCTGCTACGACCAAGGACCGCTGGGCGATTTTATATTGCGGGGCTGTCTTCCAATGCTGGGGTACAAGGAACGCACTCAAAACTCGGCAAGACATCTAGCTCCCCTCGGATGATGGCTGCTAACATTATTGGCTCCATACAGCAGTGTTTCTTTT